CTACCCCCCCCCACCCAGCTCCTCCCCCATGATCCCCAATCCTAATTGTCTCCAGGCCTTTATTTAATTCTCCTTACAGTCTGCAAATGTGTGATTTAACTTATTTTCACATGAGATTTTAGATGTAGAAGAAACTTCCAATCATATGTGTTATATGGGGACCTTTTCAAAAGCCTATGAGGATGAATGTGAAGACTGTCAGACTATAATGGTGCTGAGTGTCTGACAGGGCAGCGGCCACCACTGTCTTGACATTTTTGTGAACAGTATGTGAATGCAGGTTGCCCTGATGGCGCTGCTCTGATGGCGTCAAAAGGGAGAAGTTTTCTAATTTTTCTCAGCGTAACACATCCGTCTGTCTGCAGCATGGGGACTGTACATTTTACTTCAAGTGAATTTTATGATGAAATCATGTGATACGGTGATGAATGAGAGCAGACTTTATGTGAATCTCTGACACAGTCAACATGGCTGTTTTGCATAAAGTGAAGACAGGAGTCTCTGACAGTTCAGCTCATTTAAGGATTGGCATTTTACCCTGCGTGTAAGAGAAAACCCACATGGTCTGTATTGAATCTACAAGCCAGTTAGATGCTTCTAACTCTGCACTCAAAAGGTTTCTATTTCTTGGATTCATTTAGTGGGTGTATTGGGTTTGAAACTGAACATGGATTTTGAGCAGAAGCATGCAGGGTGAGAATAAATGTGCTTTTCTAATCAGATAATACCAACAGGACAGTGATACATTTAAAAAATAACCCCAGAATATCTGTTTTAACATGTGTCCTGATCATACATACAACATTTTATTTTATTTTGAAAGGATACAAATGTAATCACATGTTTGTGCAGGTACTGGGAATATCATTATTTCTTATATCTGGCATATACAGTAATGAGGATTGGAGTGGGTCAAATAATGCATCCCAAAACTGTTATTTATAGTAATTGAAATGCTTTGCTGATATTATATAGATTCATCATTTTACTGAGGACCCCCTGGACTCCCCAGAAGGACCACCTGGAGGTCCCCGGACCCCACTTTGAGAAGCACTGATCTGACTGGCTGGCAGGGTCTGCTTCTAAAAGGTGCGCACCTAACTGGCTGGAGCCAGGGCGGCGTATTGCCTTTCACACGCTTCTAAAATACTCTCCGGGCAGAGCCTGAAAGGGTTACTGTTTCCCAAAGTGCCTCATTCTGCGCAGTCGAGAGGGGGCGGCTGAGTGGCGCCGTCGAGTCAGAGACGCAGTTTCTAAAAACCCCGAGACATCATCAAGAAAGAAGCTGACAGTAAGGAAAGCAGCCCCCCCTCCTGCTCCTTCCCTCCGCTGGCATGCTGCCGTTCTTCTCCTCTGCTTACCAAATCCCCTCAGTGGTTCTGTCACAATAACCGGGCGGCAAGTGTCAAATCCAACTCTGCCCGCAAAAACACAAATCACTGTAACGCACACAAGATGCGCTCAGTGGAAAGCTGCTTTTAGCTCTCAGACGTTTAGTCATAGCTCTGTTTAAGTCGTTGATTGCATTTAAAGAATAATATAAACACCATAAACCCCCTACTTACAGAAAATTACTCCTCGCTTTGATTTCATAGTTAATTTCCTTGCGCGTCTGCAGCGCGTTTAATTGGCCATATCTCTTTAAGTTGCAGACAGCGTGCCCCGGCTCTCCAATTAATAGTCTGCTAACGTCAAAAACAGTTGACCATTGTTTTATGGGCTTTGTGTTTTTTTTTTCTCTCCAGGGCGGTCAGACTTGAATAGGCGCCGGTCTGCTGCAGTCCACCTCTATACAAATACCTCAGTGGAACTTGTGTGGAGCTTCCAGAGTGAAAAGCACAGACCCCAGACGCCCCTGGCTCTTGCATACACGCTCGCCATTTCATCATCTGACACTGTTTGAAATGTCTGAATCATATTTTACCCATTATGTTAACACCTCGGAGCCCTGAAACGAGCATGTGCGTAGACAGGGGGAGATGAATGTGTGGCCTCCCCTCTCCCTCTCTCTCTCTGGCTGAGACAAATGAATGCCAGTTCTGTGGAGGCGCTTGGGGTATGTGTTGCGCATTACACAGCGTAGTAAATCAGCTCTTTCTAAAATCACTGTGACGGCGTGGAGCGTCAGGCAGTCCACACAGAGTCACTGAAGCTCGGACTTACTGTGCAGTTAGTAACTCCACTCCACTTCGGAGCCCCGACACTGCAAAAAATGTCAGTCTTGAACGAAATTTCTCATCAAATGTGGATCATTTTCACTTGTTTCACTCGTTTTTCTAAAGGAAATGACACTTATGTATAGATAACTCATTTGGAAACAAGTGTAAACCACCAGCAAACTTTTCATGCAAGGACATATTTTTAAGATTAAATAAGACAACATGTTCAGATGACATTTTTTTACAGTGTACACGCCCCCCTTGATATAGACACTGTAAGCAACATGGCTTGACACTAATACACGTTGAAAAGGTAGACTTTATTGCTAAAACGTGTAAACATAACATGTACACCGATATGTTTTACTTTTGTATTGATTTTATTGATTTTTTTTTATTTTTAGAAATATTCAAGTAGACATCTCCCATATTTTTTCTGGTATACTCTGCTATTCTCTTTCCTTATGCTCTATACTCACAATCGTTAAAATAATAAATAAAACATACAGATTTGTTTATTTCTACAATACTATGTATTCCAAAAAAAGCTGAGTTCACGCCTTAATATATATCTTTAACCTCAACTTTTTCTTTTTTTTTTACAATTTAATTATTATTGATATTAATATTATACAAAAACTCTAGGCAGCATTGCAGTGAAATAACAGTCAGCATCAATGTTCAGTTGAAGAAAAAAGTTCACCTCTTGGAGAAGTGTAGCATATGCATTGCATCTTCAATGTCTCATAAAAAATATCAAAAAAAGCTCTTCCTTATGAAGTGCTCGTGTTCCCCCAAAAAACACGTTTCAGGGTTGAGAATAAAATATGGTCCTGGTTCAATTAGAAAAAATAGCTGCATTTTTCTTAAATATGTACAATGTTGGTATTTCACTTAAAATGCTATATAAAAAAATAGATCTGCTATGGTGCCCACCTCTGTAGAGAGTTAACAGTGCAATAGAAACCGTATTTCCAGTCCACTCCCCCTCGACCACCACTCCTTCCTTAGAAAGAATCAGCACGAACACTTGCACTCTGAGATGATTGGGTATTGCACCTGTATCCACGTACAGTATTTCTGTCTTAGAAACCCTTGACAATACCACCGGAGGAAAATCTTGTTGATTGACCTGACGGGTTTGCAAGACATCCCCTCGGGGAAGGAGCACGAGCGCTCAGAGAAACAGTTTCCCTCCTTGATGTAACGTGGCCAGAACCTCACGCCCAAATCCTTCCAGGTGTGCACCACTGGGCAGTGCGTATAGGTCCACAGCCACTGCAGAAATTTCCTACGGGCTTTCTTGCCCACTTTAACCCTCTTTCCATAGGGGGTCCTCGTGAGGTCAATGTTTTTAATCTCGGGAGGCATGGACCCCGGCAGCTTCCCCTGCACGTCTGTCGTGGAGATGTTTACCATGGGCGAGGTGATCGACATGAAGTTGGGGTCAAAGTTACTGCCGAGCTTTTTCCGCAGAGTCCTCTCCACCAAGTCCTGCTCCCGGGGGTCATACTCCGGGTCGGGGTCCTCTTTGAGGTCGGGCACTGGGAGGTGATCACTGGGCGATGGACGGAGGCGAAGGAAATGCTGTGAAACTCCAAGGTGGACGCACACCAGCACGTACACGAGCAGCGTGTGTGAGAGGCCCATTATTCCTCTGGTTTTACACACCGGTTCTTCTCGCGTAGATTAAAGTCAAATATTTTCCCGGTCACTGTGTTTTCTGCAATGACAAGCCAGGGGCGTCATAAATAGTAGAAGTTCAGTCACCGGCAAGGCGATACTTTTAATAGACCACGTCGGGTTTGAATGACATGGAGCGTTTTCTTTTTAGGGCTCCTTCAACTTTGCAATTTGCCCGCTGATGCAACTGTGCAGCGCCAAGCTCTGCAAAGAAGTGTTTAGTCTAAACACAACAAAAAATCTAAATGGGAAAAACTCTTTTCACGCTCTCTCCAGCCTCACCCCGCTCCCTTGGATTCACTTTGGGTTTCTTTCGGTTGTCATGGTTACCCCGGGGACTCGAAGCCACGACGAACTGTCTGCACTGGATGACAGCGGCCGAGGCGAGAGCTGCATGGGATGAAGTGTTTTCTAAAGAGACAGAATAGATCCGCAGCGTCCCGGGAGAGAAGGGTCGCACAAAAGAGTACTTCACCGAGTTTTAAATGTCACGAGCCCGGCAATGAGGGCTGCCTTGGCCAATGTTATTTTTACGCACGGCTTTTATAAACGTGGCTTCTCTTAACGTCGCCTGACGCTCTCAGGTTTGACAAGGTCCCAGCGCGCACAATCCATACACTGAGGAAACGCTGTGTGCAGCCCTGTGGTATTCCAGCCGTGGATCTGTGCACCTCTCTGAAAATGTCCAAACACTTGGAGAAAAATGCGTAGCAGTGGGATGCAATCTCAATTTATGAAATAACAGCCAAGTATCTTTCCAGAGGATGTTCCAAATCGCAGAGCAGTTACTAACATAACAGTCTGGTGTATTCCCACAGAAAAAGAGACGCTGAAAAAAGCAGCGTGTCAGTGCATATCAAATGCAAACTGCAGAAAGCCAGTAAACGTTGTGAGTTCAGAGTTCCTTTCACTGTGGCATTGCTGAATCCCTTCAGAAAAGCTCCAGATCCCAAAATCGCTGCATAACGAGACAGTCCAAAAACCTGGAGCCTTTTTGCCCGGTCGATGCAAGCGGTCAATTCCTGAGGGAGCGTCTCTCCTCCTTTGATAACTACAGAAGCTCCAACTGAGTCGCTCCTACTTCAGGAGTCTGAGAGACTTGGCGCTGGAGCGTTTCTTTGCTTAGGCACACTGTGTGTGAGTGTGTCTGTAGCGAGTGGTGCTCAGTCCCAAGTTAAATATCCCCCTCCGACGGTACAAAGTGTCAGAGGGGCCTGCCCACCCCGGCCACTTTCACTATGATTGACAGCCACCCCCCCCACCTCCTCCTCCTCCTGGCCACCCCCTCCCCTCACAACGTGGAAAATATCAGCCACAATCACAAGGATCAACTGGGTCCTAAAGCACCAGTTTTAACCCGTATTAAAGTGTAATATTCCACAACATCAACAGTGTTATTATATTACTGAGGTTTTGAAATCTAACACCAACTTTTAAGTGCTATAGCAACTCTTTTCCCCTGCGCTTTTCATCAGCAGGCTGTCTGTTATGCACTAATAGGTTCAATACGCTGTCAATACTCAGCTCGAGCGTTTAAAAGAGTTTCCTTGGCTTGAACTTTCCCATGAAATTGATGGGAAACGTTTAGTAGCTTGTCTACGGAAAAGGGGCATCACATTCCACCTTTGTTCGTCAGCATTTGGGTCTACACAGGAATTGGCCCGTTGAACTTAGGGGTCACAAAATAGGCGCGTAATTAAGGCTATAAATGGCCATGGATAACTAAGCGGTACCTTTCCCATGCTAAGCAGTCATTAGGCCATGCTGGACTTACTTTAGCTTGAACTATGTTTGTCTTCTTATAATGCTGCTTCAAAAATAACGCTGGCAAGTTTAAGTTATTGAAAATTAACATATTTAATTATTTGTATTTAACCTTAATAAGTTGGTGTTACAAACATTGTATGCATAATAAACAATAATGAGGTTGACCTCCAGTTGGAAAAATATCAATAAATATCAATAATTAAAATGTAAAAAATCATTAAAAAAAAATATATTATTGGGATAATAAAAATGATGCCATCAAAGTCAGTCTTTTATTATATGTTTCCCAATAGTGTGTCCCATTTTGTGTTTGGATAGGCTGACCAGGGTTACATGTGGGCTTGTCATTGTGCTTGTCTTTTGTAGTGGTCACTAGAGGGCGTCGATCCAGCACGGTGTGGCCCTGCAGACAGGGGCTCCTACACTCTCTCACTGTTTGGCTACTCATGTTTGAGTGCATGGGGAAGGAATGTGCACTCATACATAGTTATGGTGCAGCTCAAATGAAATTGCTCACCAGCTTTGTGATCAAAGATCTGAAAGCCAATGCTGGAGCTTTTATTCCAAAATGAACTAGTAAACCTGAATCAATCTAATTTGAGTATGCAGGATAAAGAGACTTCATTAACCAATCTCCATGAATCACTTGAAAATAGTTGCCAGCAGTCTTTTGCATACTGTGAGTACATTTCCGCTGACCCCTCCAACATGCAGCAGACACAAAGTCATAATCTGGTTAATGATTAGGGTGCCAGTGCAGACAGAGCTCAGTGGGCAGCGGGGACAGTAAGGCTGAGCTGGCTACTGTAGAACCGGCCATTTCTTTGTTTTACTCCACAGGTATTGGGGTGCCGGACTGAGAGAGAAAACCCCATGCAGGGAGAGACACTTCCCTTCCTCTTAGTCTCAAGCACTAATACTGGCGAGCAACCTAGCAATGGTTACGCCCCCATCCCCTGGCTAATTACTGGAGATAAAGACAAGGAGAGGAGAGAGGAGGGGACCGGTGAGCACAGTGGGGAGGGGGGGGCGGTGTTGATGATGTTCAGTAAGTGGGGGTGAGGTGGGGATGATGAAGATGGTGGTGGTGGGTTCAGCAAAGAGAAGAGGATCGGTGGGGGGGGTCAGTGGTGGTGCCGGATGGCAGTTTGCTGTGGAATGGCTAATTAAATAACGCCATAAAAGGACCCCGGCTCGCTTTAACGAAGCCCGTCAACCTCTGACGAGTGGGGCTGGGGTGCTGGGAGGGGGGGACGGACGCACCACGGAGGAGAGAGGTGGGGCTGGTGCCGAAAATTGGCCTTGTATAACAAGGGGACTTAGCTCTTTGGTTTTGCAGTGATTGTTCACGCTCCCTTAGGTCTCAATAGGGCGCATGGTGAGGGTGAGTTGGGGGGCAGCCCTTAGGCACAGATAGGACCCCCTTCTCCCCTTGTGCTGTGAATGCTATATACACATACACACCAACACACCAACACACCACACACACACACACACACACACACACACACACACACACACACACACACACACACACACACACACACACACACACACACACACACACACACACACACACACACACACACACACACACACACACACACACACACACACACCACACACACACACACACACACACACACACACACACACACACACACACACCACACACACACACACACACACACACACACACACACACACACACACACACACACACACACACACACACACACACACACACACACACACACACACACACACACACACACACACACACACACACAGCTCTATACAAAGGCCTCTACCCAAGGTCCAGCCAGGAGCTTATCCAGTGCGGGGGCACAGCAAGGGGCAGGCCTGGCCAGACTGGCTGGCTGTGCCCACTGGGGACTGGTAGAATGGCACAGGGGGGGTGATGGAGACGGACAGCTTGGAGAGGAGAGGGGGAGTAAGCAGGGAGACTCAGAAGAACATCAACAAGCAGAGCTGGACTAACAAAATCAACATTGTTCTTTACTCTCATATCTCTTTCTTGCTGGATTTAATGAGCGAATGTCAGGAGATAAGGACAGTTGAGGGATTTGGCAAGATGCTGTAGACATTTGGAAAAAGTCTTAAGTGACGGAGATATTGCAACTCTGAAATCCCAAAGCCCACCTCCCTTCCACCCGACAGATAGGCCAGGAGCACGTATCCTAATTAGTTGTGTGTTGTGGCGTCTCCAGCAGAACACTCTCTGTTGGATCTTTGGCAGGCAGACAGATTTCAGAACCAACCACAGCCGTCACAAGTCTTTTTTTGTTTTTTTAACTAAACATTTCCAAGAGCCCTGAGATCTGGGGAACCACAGCATATTTGTTTCTACTGTAAAATGTTGTATAACAGCCCACTGAAGTATTCACTTGTATTAGCTGTACGAACAATATCAACTCATTGTACCCTTGCATTGGCAAGATGGATATTTCTTGCCACAATAATTTAAAACAGAGAGGTTCAAAATGCAAGTAAATAACTTTCCACCACTGCCTGTCAATATTGCACACCCCCTATCCCCCACTGCCCTCGCCATCTTCTCCAGTCTTACTCCCCTCTTCTCTCTCCTCCATATTCGACTCTGTCTCCGAGCCTTAACCCAAAGCAGATGGCTCGGGAAGCATGTCCAAAATCTGTCTCCCGTTAACGCTACTTTTGAAGCCCCCTCTACACTTTTTTTTCTCCCCCCTGAAATTCATCATAAAGTTATTTTTGCAAAATACCTAGTAAACAGCATCAAAGTGATATATTTTCCCTTTTCCTCTGATGACAGGGAGAACAAAATAATGAAGCACTAAGTGAAAAGCTCGTCCCTGTTATTGAAAGAACGTAACGGCACTCTGATGTGCAATCTGAAGCTAATCTGAGCATGGCCCCGCATCCTTTGTTTCTACTACGACATTCCAGTCATGATGGAGAAAATGTTGCTCCATGCTTGATCACAAGCTGTGATTAATAGTGATCACATCGTAGACGGCTCGCTGTCTTTGTGATGCGATCGCGGGGCCCACTTTGAACTCAGAGAATGATGAACTCAAGCAATGCCAGAAAAACATCACTGTGCTACACACAATCTGAATATAAAACGTTTTGCTTAGATTTTGTATGTTTTCAGTCACAACTAAGGCTAATCAATTAGCTTTGGTTTGTAAGTATTTGGTCGTAAATCAAAGTAAATTGAAATTCAAACCTGATTTAAATTCGTTCTGAGGGGGGCATTAATACTGTACAATTCTCATGACTTTTAGATAGTCATGAGAATCTATCTAAAAGTTAAATATTTCTGCTGAAAGCACAAATGTGAGCTTTATGGTGGCGCTAGAGATGAACAATTACCAAAGTCATTAGGGTTCATCATCTGGAAACCATGAATGTGTTTATCTAATTCTATTCTATATGGTACATTTTCAAAAGGAATGTCAAAACTTTGACCTACAAGTGGCGCCAAATGAAAAGTTTGGTGATATCTTCTGGGGTCTTGAATGTATACAATTCCTTTAAGTAATTGCCAAATAATTTCATTCTAGTCCAAAGTGACCAAAATGACTGACATACCAAAAGTCTTTGCCATTCCTTAATTCATGTTGCTAGCGTGGCTACACATATGAGCCAAGGTGACATAAGCAGGAATTAGCCTTTACATTTTTATACTTTTGTTGCAAAGTTCTACAGAAGTGTACAAATGTACCTCTAAGGTTTTTGGCCTGGTTACTTGGAGGTTGGGACTGTTCCTTTTTGTAAGCCTCCCCCCCCCTTTCTTCATGAATCACTACTAATCTTCTGTAATGGTGCCTGGCAACTTTTAATTGGGGCGGTCGACGTGACCTCAGGGCATTCCAGGTTCATTTCCCTTATTCACATCTTACAAAGTTAACATAAAATAAGGATTTTTAACAGCTTTGATCATCCGGTACGCTTCATCTTTTTTCTCGCCTTTAGTTTTATGTGTTGCATCCCATCTTGGAAGAGTTCTTTTTTCTATTCTCCTCGTCTCCTTCTCCTCTTGCCCTCCCTCCTTCGCCCCCCTTCCCCCGTGGCAGGGAGTGATGAGGATGGAATTAAATTGATCACCGCCTTCCGGAAAACAACAGGAAAAAATAGTGCATTCCGAACGCCAGGAGGGCGTTCCCCCTGGTCTTCCCTATGGCAAGATGACATCATTGGCTCGCTGCCCAATTCCCACCGTTCACAATAGGGTCACTGTTGCCTTCTCCTCGGTGGCATAAGAGCCAAGAGAGGAAGAGAGAGCAAGACAGAGAGAGAGATAGAGAAAGAAGGGGGAAAAGAAAAAGGATGCCAGCAATGTTAAGACCTAAAGGCCTGCGCTTCACACACGGAAACACAAACACACC